TGAAAATGCCTGACCCGGCCATATCTTCCCAGAACAACAGCCTGGCACTTCACTCCTTCCATGTGCTTTTGTTGCTTTGCTTTGCCTTTTTCTTCAAGTTGACCCCATTTGCTGTGTTTTACAGCAAGTGCTGATAAACCCTGGTAGAAATTATTTTCCTTGGCTTCTTCTTCCCAGCCCTGTCCCATTGCTGCAGGTGACAGGAAGACCAGGTTCCTGTTTCCAGAAATGCCTCATTTTCCCATTTTTCAATGGCCTTGCCTATTTCTGAAGGGACTTTGTGCAAGGTTTTCCAAGCATTTGACTGCTTTTGCCCCAAGTGCTGCACGGCCTCCTCCCCTGGATAACTCTGGAAGTTGTGTTGCCTTGTTCCGGAGGGAATGGTGGAACTGATGAGTTCAGATGCTGAAGCAGCTGGGGACAAGTGTTGTGGTTCCACATTGAGCTGGGCTGTTGCTAAAGTGCATTTTTCACCTGCTTGCCATCTAAGGCCTCTCCTTTCTCCCGGGTGCCTCCTTCTCCTTCAGACTGTGCAGATTCCAAGGCCTGTGCAGCCTGGCAGGAATGTCTCTCCATCTGATTCTGTCCTCACTGACAAGTGACCTGGGAACAAAACTCCACTCTGGGCTTTTCCCTGGGGGAATTGAGCAATGCACATTCATCTCTGTGCCATTGTTCTCCTCTTCCAGCTTCCTTGTTGATGGAGATCTCTGGCTGGTGATGGAATACATGGATGGAGGAACTTTGCAGGACGTTGTCAGACAGACACGCATGGCTGAAGGAGAGATGGCAGCTGTCAGTCAGGAGGTGAGGGATCCTGCTTGTGCTTCCCATGGCTGGGACACCGTGGTCCTTCCAAAGAGGCTGTGAGAGCAGAGTGGCTCCATGCTCAGGCCTTTGTTTCTGTGTTGTTTTTATGAGCTGGAGAGGAAAGAGCCTCTGAAGTGAATGGCCTGCAAATATCACTGCATTTCTACTCTGTTCTTGTCTTCTTTCCTGCTGTTGTGGTACTCTCTGTCTTTTTTGGATCTGATTTCCTGGTCTCAGCTTTGCCTTGAACCTTTTGCCTGGAGCTTGTCTGCACCGCACTCCTGGGCTGTCACAGCAAAGTTGCTGCTGGCAGAATTCTAAACTGTCCTTTCTTGTGTGATATATTCCGGCCTCTGATTTTTTCCCTCGTGTTTCTTGTTGTCTCTCAGTGTCTGCAGGGCCTGGATTTCCTCCATTCCAACCGGGTGATCCACAGAGATCTGAAGAGCTCCAACATCCTTCTGGGAATGGACGGCTCTGTCAAGCTGGGTGGGTGTTCCTGGCCAGGCACGGCGCTCCCGGGGTGCGGCTGTGGGGCTGCTTCCCAGTGAGGGCCAGAGCCCCACAAGTGCTGCTGGTGGCACTGCCCAGCCCCTGCTGCCAGCTGAGAGCGGCTGCCCCGTGCAGAGAGCTCAGGAGAGGAGCAGGCTGTCAGGAGTGCCTTTGCTCTGGGAATGGCCCTCCCAGAGGGGCAGGAGTTGCAATCTAAAGCTTCAAAGGAAATCAGTAAAAGCCAAGCATGAAAGCTGAGGGCTTCTTTAAGGGTCCAGTTCCATCTTTCCTTGGCTACAGCCCTGAGCACTTTTCCAGCTGGATTCAGCACTGCATTCCCAGACTGAGAGTGGGGAATCTTTGTGCTTGGTTTCCTCATTGCAGCTGCCTTTGACAGTGCTTGTTTCTGTCCTCAGCTGATTTTGGCCTCTGTGCTCAGCTCAGCCCTGAGCAGGACCAGTGCAGCTCCATGGTGGGCACTGCTCACTGGATGGCCCCAGAAGTTGTGACCAGTTCTCCTTACGGCCCCAAGGTGGACATCTGGTCCTTTGGCATTGTGACCATCGAGATGGTGGAAGGAGAACCTCCTTACTTCCAGCAAACGGGGGCCATGGTAAGAGGCAAATTCTCCAGGCTATGCAGAGGCCTGTGAGCACAGGGTGACCCTGCACTGGGAGGAGCAGCTGGAGGTTTCTGCACATCGCAAAGGGAATTCCCACAGCACCTGAGCCTGAACACAGACAAATATTCTGCAGTCTCCAGCAACAATTTGCTTTGGCATTTAAGTTGTTGCAGCTCTTGTGAGGATCACCCAAATACATGAAGCAAGTGCATCAGCTCTAATGTTGTCTTGCAGAAAACCCCAAACCAACCCCAACACCCACACCCAAACCCAACAAGTTTTCTGAAGGAGTTTCTAAAAGAAGTTTTGAGAGATGCATTTCCCCCTGGCTTTTCTCACTGGGAAACTATACTGAAACATGAAGATGATTGTTTAACATCCCCACAGTCTAACACATTTCTTTCTTAGTCCAAGCTACTTTCTCTGTGTCACCAAGCCTGAGCCTTCAGCCACACAAACCTGCTGTTCCTTGCCTGGCAGTTTCTGGCATGGGGCATCAGGAATACTTTTAACTTGAGTGTCAGTGGCACTGCAGAGATGCATTTGATGTAAAAATACCTTAAAATAACACAGGCAGACCACACTAACTCTTGAAAATGGCCTGTAAAGCTGGCGTCTGTATTTGGAGAAGCAAAATGGGCTATTTCTGATGGAGGTTCCTACTGACAAAGTCAGCCAATGCAGTCGGCTCTGAAGGCAAGATCATTTGGATGTTGCAATGGCTGTGGCTGCACCAGGGTTTGGGTTTTTTGGCTGGCCCAGAAGAATGAGCTGTGAGCAGCAGCATCTGTGCCAGGGAGGAAAGTGCCCGGGGAGCTGGGGCAGAGAAAGCGGGCTGGATGTGAGCACCTGTGGGTGTGGAGGAAGCTGTCAGAGCGCTGTGTTTGCTTTTCCTGCAGGCCCGCGCTCTGATCCGGCAGAACGGGAGCCCGCAGCTGCAGGAGCCCAGGCGCCTGTCGGCTCTGCTGCGGGACTTCCTCGAGTGCAGCCTGGAGCCGGACGAGGAGCGGCGCTTCTCTGCCCAGGAGCTGCTGCAGGTGAATGCCAAGCGGCTGCGGGGGAAACGGCAGCGCCAGGGAGGGCTTTTCTTGTGGGGCCCCCTCCCATCATCTCCAGTCCCGCTGCTTTTCACACGCAAAGCCAGCAGAATCCTCGCCTGCTTTGGCTTGGCAGGCTCCTGTCGAGCTCATCTGGAGCTGGTGCCCCGCCACGAGCGGGGACATCTTCAAGCACATCAGGTGGCTCAGAGCCCTGCCTGACCTGAGCCTGGATGTTTCCAGGGAGGAGCCACCTCCCACATCTCTGGGCTCCCTCTCTCAGTGTTTCCCCACTCTCCTGCTACAGCAATTCTTCTTTACATCTAATCTGAGCCCGCTTCCCTCTCTTGACTTTCAAACCATTCCCCTTTGTCCTGTTTCAACAGAGCCTGTGAGGAACTTGAGTCTGGAAAGTAACAGTTCATTTCTTTCTTTTTTATCCCTTGGGCAGCACCCATTTTTGTCATCAGCCAAGCCTCTCTCCAGCCTGACCCCTCTGATCACTGCAGCAAAGCAACTGAGGGAGCAGCGCAGGAGGAGATGAAGCCCTTGACGAGAGCTTTTCATTATAGTAGTTAGGAAAAGTAGTTAGTTATGTTAGTTAGGACTGCTAGTTAGTTAGGGTAGTTAGGACAGCCTGTTTGTTATGGCAGTTATTTGAATAAAATCTCTGTTAAACCTCAATCCCTTGAGGTGTCCTGTCCTTCTCCCGCTGTGCCTCAGCTGCCCGGAGCACTGCGAGGGGAGAGCGGGCCCAGCCTCGCCCAGAGCTGAGCCCCAGCAGAGCCTGGCAGAGCCCAGAGCAGCCTCGGCATCTGCAGAGTCAGCCTGGAAGGAGGCGCTTGGAGCCTTCTGGGCTGCAGCCGGCTCTTGCTTACAAACTGTGTGCGCTGGAAAATGCCTCTGGTTCTGCGGGAGGGCAGAAGGGGCCCGGGGAAGGCCCAAGTGCTCCATGCAAGGGAAAAACCTGCCCTGTGTTTGTGATAAAGAACTATGTTGTTGTTGCCCTTTGCTATTATGTGCTGGCTTTTCCAAATTATTATAATCACAACGATTTTGATATAGTACAGTTTGTAATCACTTCTAACTGCTTTTGATATAGTAGTGTTATAAATGACTTTCAAATTTCCAAACAATCAAATCTAATTAATTGATAACATAGCTTAATAAATTGGATACAAAATAATAAAAGAATACAATTTATTAAAAGAATACAATTTAGTAAAAAAGAGATACAATTTAGTAGATATATTCAGATACATAT